GAAGGCTGATGCTCAATTGACTGAGCCACCTAAGGTTCCCTTAAGTTAAAATTCTTAATGCATCACTGATTGATTAGATATTTTAATTGGAAAGTCAGTGAGAATAAACATATCTGTACAGTTTGTAACATTATAAATGAACCAGAGAACATATTTTCATTTATATGTACATATAAACGTATATTTCCAATTATTTACCTATAAACTTGTATATATTTAATATTTACACATGTGCATGTTTATTGTATGTTAAATTTATATCTGAAAAATGATGGCAATATTTAAGGACTAAGTTTGTGGTACACATCATCTACCTCACATTGAAGAAGTGGCAGCCTTGGCAAATATGTATTTTGTCATTTTCTCATTCATTAATAGGGTTGATGGCAATAATTTCAATCTTAGTCAATTGACAAAACAGCTAATTAGAAACTGGGTCGCCTGGGCCCTAAATAAGGTGGGTTGAACACAGTATATTTGGTCCTAGATATCAAAGTTCTTGTAATCAGGTTTTAAAAACAAAGATAAACCTCCATATAGTGAACTGAAAGTCACATATGTGCCAGAGCAAGGCCAACCAGGCAGTAATTGTTGGCCAGCTACAGCTCATAAAGAGACTTGATACGAAAGCTGAATCCAAATAGAAGTGCCAAGTACTACCTGGACCACTTATATTCTCTTCCTCCAGGTATTGACCTGGAGATGTGGAGACAGGAACAGGCATCTGGAAGCAGGAGTGCCAAGTAAGCAGAATGCCAGTAGATAGACTTGTGCGTCAAAACCACAGGGAAGTAAGGCAAGTGATGCATAAACAGAAGCTAAAATCAAGCAAAAGCCATGAAGTGCAGGATAGGGGTGCAGACTAAAAGGTGAAGAGTTACTAGTAGTCATCGGAAGGGTGTAGTCCAGACAAAAAGAACTGACTTAATTTTAATGATAAAACATAACATATTTCCGCTATTGTGGAGAGGCTTGAAATACATTCAGGAGTCCAGGAGACAGCTTAAATTCAAGCTGTGGAGGCTGGCCATGTTTCCGGATCCCATGACATGAAATAGAGCTGTGTGGCTGCCACACCTGCCCCTTTTATTCCATGTGCATCTTTACAGTGAAGCACCCATCTCATTATTAGACGTGGTTAGCTCAGGTATTATTTTCCGATTGCTGTTGCAACAAATTACCACAAACATAGTGGTTTAAAACAACACAAATGCATGACTTAGAGTCAGAAGGGCAAAAGTCCTAAGTGGGCCTTCCCATGGGAAAATCTAGGTGTTGGAAGGGCAGTATTTCTTCACAGAGGAATGCTCTAGGGGAGACTACATTCCCTTGTCTTCTCCAGCTTCTTGCCTCTTCATTTCTTCTTCTTTTTTAATTGAATGATAAGAGACACATAATATCTTGTTAGTTTCAGGTATACATCACAGTGATTTAATATTTTTATATGTTACAAAACGATCCCTGTGATGTCCAGTTACCATCTACCGCCATACAAAGTTATTACATTACTGCCTATATTTGCTGGGTTCTACATATCCATGGCTTACGTATTTTATAACTGAAAAGTTGACCTTTTAACACCCTTGTTCAACTTTTTCCACCCCCTCTACCCTCTCCCTCTTCTGGTAACCAACAGATTTTTTTTTCCTGTGTCTATGAGCCTGTTTCTGTTTTGTTTTGTTTGTTCATTTGTTGTTTCTTTAGATTCCACGTATATGTGAAATCAAACAGTATTTGTCCTTCTCTGTAAGGCGCAGCATAATACTTTCTGGATCTATCCATGTTGTCACAAAAGACAAGATTTCATTCCTTTTTATGGCAAAATGATATTCCAGTATATATGTATGTGTGTATATATCACATCTATTTTAGCCATTCATCTACCAGAGGATACTTAGGTTGCTTCCATATCTTGGTTATTGTAAATAATGATGCAATAAACATGGAGGTGCACATATCTCTTCAAATTGTTATTGTTCTTATTTTCTTTATAAAAATATCTGAAGTGGAACTGCTAGATCTAATGCAATCACAAGAGCCTTGTGATTGCATTAAACCCACCTGAGCCACCTGGGCTCAGAGTTTGGGAGAATTTCTTAAAATTCTCCCAATCTCAAGAAAATTTAAACACATCTGCAAAGTCCCTTTTGACATGTAAGACAACATATTTAAAGATCTCACAAGTTAGGAGGTGAATATTTTGAGAGGGCCTTTGTTCTTCCAACCATACCTCACATGATGCACATTCCAGGGGCTGGTTGACAAACAGTGTTTCGGAAGGTTGTGCTATGAGGCTTTATTAGTAGGAGAAAACATTTTGGTTTGGCTCACCAGAGAAGTCATTACAGAAGAGAAGCAAGCAGGGTAGGATTATGAAGGTTAGATGAGTTTTTACTGTGAAAGAAGAGGATGAAATCAAGTCCAGGGTGTAGAGAAAAAAGATGAAAGAAGAAACAAATTCAACAGAGGCATTATCAGCAGGCTGATGGGGATAGAATATTTGTGGAGGAGAATGGATGGAAGGTAGCTGGAAAAGTTAGATTTGGAAAACAATGTGGAATCTTATGAAAAGCTAATAAAAATGTTTTTGTCTTAGCACATAACCATTGACTAAAGACAGTGTCAAATAGAGAATCCCAGGTAGCTGTTGCAGTATCAAGTCCTGAAGTGTACTTACCTGAGCTCAGGAGTAACAAATACAATGGAAATTGAAGGGAAAATATAAAGAAAAAATTTGTTTGATAAATACATATATAAAATATTTACTTGCGGAATGTAGACAGATGCCATTAAAACATTTTATTTTTATTTTTATGTATCAACATTTATTGTCATTTGGTATGAAGTAATGGTATGAAGAAATCATAGTGACAAATATAAAGTAATATTTATATCAAATTATAATTTATACTGAGGCATAAATATATGTTTATATCTGTCATTCTTACATGTGAACATGAGTAATATTGCTGATAGTCAAGGTAAAAACTTAAGTCTCAAGAAAAGAAGAGAACTGTTTTGCTTTTACATTTTGATTCTACTTAGAAGGCTTTCTGTTTCTTCTTGGCTTCACATTTATAGCTTCATCTTCACATATAGGCTAAATCAGAGTTGGATCTATTGCTACTAGATTGGTGTACCATATTCTCACAGGAAAGAAAGGGGGGGAGGAAGGAAGGAAGGAAGGAAGGAAGGAAGGAAGGAAGGAAGGAAGGAAGGAGAGAAGAAAGGAAAGAAAGAAGGAGGGAGGCGGGGAGGAAAGAAGGAAGAGAAAAATCTGTTTGGTTTATGAAGCCTTGTTTTGGAAACATTCTTGTTCTAGTAATGCAGAAGTGACATTTTTTCATGCCAACCAAAGCTACCTAACCTCTAATATAAGAAAATAACAATAACTATCTGAAAACAAGATCTATCTCGAATACTATTGTGTTTGAAACTAGACAGTAGATGACAAGGTACTCACAGTAAAAAAAAAAATGATGGGGACCAGTTCAAAGAATGATGCCATGTGTTAGATCCTTGACATGGTTTAATTTCATGACAATACCATATTCTCCTGTGAGGATAGTGAGATTCAGAGAGATTAAATGTTTGTGGTCACGTAGCTAGAAATTGGTGGTTGGTGTGTGGAGGATCAGCCGTGGTATTTTCACCCCTGCTATCCCATCTCTGAAACTCTTTATTATTTATTTATTTTTTGAAAAAAGATTTAATTTATTTATTTAAAAGAGAGGGAGAGAGAGAGAAAGAGAGAGAGAGAGCAAGAGCTCTAATGGGGTGAAGGGCAGAGGGAGAAGCAGAGTCTCTGCTGCGAAGGGAGCTGGATGCAGGGCTCAATCTGAGGACTCTGGGATCATGACCTGACCCGAAGACAGATGCTTAACTGAGCCACCCCAGCACCCTTGAAACTCTTTATATTAAATAGCATTGCTGCTCTGAAACTTAAAAGTTTGAGTAGTACTTAATGGCAAGAGCCATTGGGTGTTATACTGTATGTTTGAAAATTGAATTTTAATTTAAAAAATTAATAAAATAAAAAATAAACCTCATCTCAATCCTCCTTTCCTTAAAAAGAAAGAAGAAAGAATGAAAGAAAGAAAGAAAGAAAGAAAGAAAGAAAGAAAAGAAAGAAAAAAAGAAAGAAAGAAGGAAAGAAAGTTTGAGTAACATGTTCTCTAGTGTCCACCCCAGAGCCAGTGTTTTATAACTACTAGTGTCGCTGGGATAGGAAATGGACTCTTATTTTTCTTGCAATAGTATAAAGGATCTTTTATAACAGTTGTTTTTTATTTGACTTAACTTTAGTCTGCTTGATTCAAGAACAGGCGAGTACAAGCCATGAGGTAAAGCACAATTCGTAGTAGCTAAATTATTCAAGTAGTTGCATTGATGCATGCCATTTCGTGTTTTTGACTGAGTTGTTAATGATTTGTATTTAAAATTGAAACACCCAATAAGTCTTATGGTATCCAGAAAAGCTTAAGAGTCTAAAAGGAAATAATGGTTTTCTGTACCCCAATCAGCACTTAAAAAAAGCAAACAACAACAGAAATGAAGCTGTCCATCAGTCAGATTGTTGGTCTGTGTAAGTGGTTCTCAAACCTGTCTGCACATATGAATGATCTAGGGTATTTTTTTAAAAGACCAATATCTGGACTCCTTTACCCTGAAATTCAGATTTAATTGGCCTATTGCAAGTATGGATGGTCTACATTTTTAAAACCTCATTATAAACAGTAAGGAAGGAATGTTCTCCTTGCTTGGCAGCACCCCAATACTTATTTCTGTTACAGTAAGCTATTAAGTTAAGAAGGGACTTTTCAATGGACTGTAGACATACTAGACATTTCAGAACATGAGAGGTTCTTACTGTTTGCCAAAATAAAGCTCTGGGACCATATGATAAAAACACAAGCACGGGTTATTTTCTCTAAGGGCCAAAGAAACCAATGCCACTTAAATAATGTGTTTTTTTCATTCCTCGAATGTCTGTTTGTCAGTTTTGCTTTGTTTTTCCATAGTGGATGAAAATGTTTTCAGATTTCACGCTTCCAAATAGGCAACACTGAAAATATTGAATCTACTTGGCCGTTTGATGCAAGGTGAGAGGCCCGAGGGAAGGAACGGGTACAAGGAACTTTTTGCCTCTGTTATGAGGATTTACAATTATAGAAGGGTCACGTCCGGGTTGTGTTTTCTAAGATGGCTTTATATTTTTATGTGCTCCTTCCAGGCTTTGCAGAAGGCTGTTACTCATCCTGTTAAACAGACAAAGGGAAAGCCAGAAAGGATGTAATTGTTCTTGGACTGGTTTCTTCTAAATGGTGTTCGGTTGGGGTTTTGGTTTATAATTTAAATGTTAGCATTACTATTGTACCAACCATTGTAAAGGCCTGTAGAGAAATACTTAAAATATTGCAGCATGCGTAGGCTTCCCCTACAAGCCAGCATTTCCAAATCTGTGGTTTTATTTGGGAATTTACTAGCTCATGTGGTTAACACACTTAGATGAGCGATGTACGTTTGAACAAATTGTTGTTCCGAGTTCAAAACTACCGCCCACTGCCTCAGAAAACAAAGTGGGAAAATGGTTTCTTGAAAACAAAAATTGAAGCTGGAAAGCAAATTTTTAAACTGGTAATGCTGGGTAAATAAGGGTGGAGAGTTTCGAGCCTTCTCCAGACAAACTAAATCAGGAAGAAAAAAAGAAAAAGGAGTATATCTTATGAGTCATATGTGAAGTTAATAGGGATCCATCTGTACTTGTTTGGTTTTGACCTTTTTCACATAAAATGGGAACTAGAAAGCTACTATTTTATAAAAGAATTTGCTGTTCTGCAGAATGGAAACAGTATTTTAAAGCATGCTGGAGATGAGACATCTCAAGACTGTCCTCTGCTGAGGGCTGGACTCTTAGGAATAAGAATTGTCAAATTAGTGGGTGAGCTCTCTGGCCCCCTTGTCCTTTCATCCCACCATTATAGGAAAACGTCAGTCTTCAGATGGAATCCCCCAACCACAACTATGTCCTGGCTATTGAACCAATGTTACAGGAGGGCTGATTGGCACTCACTGTTCTCGATGCTTTTTGGCAATTTTACATTGGTCTCATTGTAAGCTCACATGCCCATCTTTCATAATAATTTCAGTTTCCCCCATTATTCTTAAACTGGCATTAACTTCATCTCACTCATCCATTTCCGAAACTGACTTTGCTATGTACCCATCTTCATTCCCCCCCCCCACCTCTTATAATAGAAAGGTGTGGAACCCCCTCAGAGCTGTCCTTACACCTGTGTTCTGATTTCCACCTTCAGTGCTATCACATAGAAAACCTGGTATCATCAATGCTGATGTATAGGTTGGCTAATCCACGGGCCTCTTTGACAGAAATACTGGTTCTTTACGATTAATGGTAGCGCTTCACAGTTAATACAAGGAAGCAAATTATATTAGGGTATTGGGAAGAAGTGATGATTTTGCCAACAATTTTGATGGGAATTGAAGTATAGCTTTATGTCAGATGCTGAGTAGAACTTCACTCGAAAACCCAATTTAAAATGTTTGTTATCTATGCCTCAGCCTCTTTAGATTTTTGCCAGCATTAGGTCCCTTTTCTTTCCTTTGCACAAAGAGCCCAGCCGTTCTGGTCCTACTTTTTTCCACTCCCAGGTGCTCCCCATTGGGTCTCAATCTTTCTTTTTTATTTCATTCAAGTAAAGTGAGCTAAGTCAGATTTCTTTTAAATGCATACTTGCTTCATTTCTTAAAACTCGTTTCAGCGGGAAAGCAACTATATTGACAATAACAACTCGTACTCCATAGATTAAGAATTCTCTACTAAGAATTTTCTGCTTACCAGAAACCAGTCTTCTTAGGATGAGTGGATAATTACAAATACTCCCAAGATTGTTCAGCTACAAAATTATTTCTTTTTAGTTCTACACTAAAGTTGTGCCTTCGATTGTTCTCTTCCAACCAATGTTAAACATGCTTTAACTGCTTCTACATTAAGGGATAAAACAAATAGTCACACATTTGAACTCATACCCATATGCACGGATCCAGTCCACAGGTTCAATTACCACCTATCAACAGATAGTTCCTAATTCCATTCTCTATATGCTCAATGGACAGCTCATTATATCTCGAACTCAGACCATCCAGCAACAGATTTATCAATTTTTCTCAACTTTTCCATCTCTGCATTTCTCTATCTCATTAAATAACCTGGAATTGCTCAATCTTGGAAATACCTGTGATTCTTTTTTTCTGTGCCCCATTGTATTTAACAATCACCAAATCCAGCTGATCAATTGTACCTCTGCAAGGTCTCTTAAGTCACACACTGTTTCCGTGTACTGCCCCTGGCATGTTACCGCATCTTTGTCCTGACCGTTGCACTAATCTCCTGTTGGTCTCCCTGCATCCACTTGCCCTGATCTAAAACATTATTTTCAAATTAAAATTCAGCTGTGTTAGTTGGGCTCTAAGATTTCCGATGAATTCCTATTGCTCTTCTGATAGAATCTGTAACATTTAATGAAATGTAATGTCAGCTTAAAAGGGTCTCCACATGAAGTCTTAACTTCCTTCCCAGACCCATTTCACCAGACTCTACACCCAGATAATATTCTAGACTCTTTTACAGTGCTTCAAAGATGACACATTCTATGCTAGTCCAGGGCTTTGCCTGTGCCATATCTGCTGTTTAGGTTGAGCCAATCCATCCAAATATGTAGTCTCATTTTAATACAGTCTACTTTTCCTTACTATCTGAGCAAAATATCATTTTTTTTTCAGAAAATCTTCCCTAATCCCATAGACTAGTCTAAGGTCCCCTGGTTTATGATTTCATATCACAATGCTTCTCTCTGTACATTATACATGCAATTATCCTATCTCGATAATCTACTCCATGAGGACAGCTACTCTCCTGTCTTTTTCTTGACTGCATTCCAGTGATTAGGACAATGTGTGAGTTACAGAATTACTTTTATAGCTGGCCATAAGGTCTAAACACATAGATAACAATTACACAGCTTTTTACAGATCAGATCCCTTCAGGGGTATATTAAAGGTCTGTGTCAATTTAGTAAAAATCAGAGACACAAAGCATCTGAGGCAACCCAGGGATTGAAGGGAATGCAGTGTTAATGAACTGAGTTTGCTGCAACTTTGCACAGTGCGTTGTATTATGCGTTGAAAATAAGAGACAACACATCAAACATATTGTGTAATGTCATTGGCCACGTTATGTATTGCAACGCGATGGTGATCAATATTTTGCTATCTATATTCACTCATGTTTTCAGACTCCGGCCATGCTGTAGAATGAACATTTTTGTCCTGAAAATTGTATACTTGCCTATAGCCTTCACTTGAACAAACACTGGTTCACTGCTTTTTTTTTTTTTTTTTTTTCACCCTAATAAACTTTCAGGACTAAGTGCTGGGAAGACTGGTCTCCTTGGACGAATAGATCAGTGAGGCATAAAGACAGAAAGGTAAGCATTTGACAAGTTGTTTTTGGAATAAAAGAGGTGTACAAGAGGGGGTTTTGGCTTCCAGATATCTTAAAACGAAGTATTAAAAAGTATATGGAGAGAAATGTCTTTCCAGAGATCACATTTATGGTTCCTTTTTTTTTTTTCCCTGAGACATACTGAGAAGAGATTTTGTTTTAGCCAGGGATTCATTTACAGTGTTTATTAAATGTGATTTTTTTGGTAACTTGCACCTTGTCCTGAAGTTTGTAACAAAGGAAGGAGAGGAAAGAGCGATCAGTCATTTCAGAGACTGAAGAAGCCACAATAAATGTTCTTCCCAAGATACTGATAATCACTGTAGAAAAAAAAAATATATATACATATATAATTACAATTAAAAGCTTAGTTTAAGTAGAGGGGAGAGAAATATTTTTTTAAAGGCTTTATTTATTTGTTAATGAGAGACACAGAGACAGAGACATAGAGAGAGAAGCAGGCTCCCTGCAAGGAGCCGGATGCAGGACTCAATGCTGAGCCACCCAGGTGTCCCAAGGGGAGGGAAATATTAACACTCTTTTATAAGCCCTTGAGTTAAGTTCCAGTATAAATAATGTTTGTATCCTTTAATGGCAATGCTGGCCATTGTCATTTGGCAGAGATGCAAATATCTATGATAAGAGAGATATTTGGGTGTGGGAGGGCTTCCCCTGGGCAAGTCACAAATGTCAGAGAGGTCCCAGGCATTCATTGTTCCTGGGTCCCACCTGAGTACACATGCCTGCCAAATTTGCTTCAGAGGTCCTAATCCTTTAGAGTTGAGGAGGCCAAAACAGTGAAGTGGTGCACATAGAAGCGCTAGGCAATGTAGCGATGGTGAGGAGTGGGTTGCAGGTGCCATATGTTCAAATTACTTTCTGGAAAGCACTTCCTATGGCAATTATTGATTGGCTCATCTCCTTGAAGCTCAAATACTGAAGCCTATCCTCACTTTAGAGACACAGTGGCTCTAAGATGAGTAAGCTTCTGCTATGTCCAGACAAAGGGCTCATGCAGGGGATACTAGACATGATTAGGACATGCTCCAACTTTTAAGAAGTACTGTCCAAGGACTTCAGGCAGCTGGAAGTCATTCCCATCTTCATTCTACGGATAGAAGATGCCAGAAAGTGAAAGTGTAACAAAGAAAAACAACACTATTGCTGCCCTTCTCCTAGGTTTCCACCAAACAATCATCCCCAAAGTCCCCAATCTAGATAAATGTATTTTTCAGAATACTCTAAAAAGGAGAGGTCACAGAAGGCTTTTTCATATCTTGAACGTGCTCAGAGAAAGTGACATAAAATAAGGCTGCAAGATGTTTGACTCTGTAGGGAAACATTATGCTTTTTGAGATCAATAATTTGTGAGCACACAGAAAACATACTGATCTAGTGTGTATTCCCTGAGTTCCATGGCCTCGTGCCTTCTCATCATGGAAGTGCATTAAAAAAAAAAAAAGTTGTGTGGCTGTGAGTAGATTATGGTAGTCTGAATAGGCTCATTATTAATAAATTGTCACAATATATCCTGAATTCAGAGTGCCCTAGGGTGTTTAGGAGGAAGCAGATGATTTTCAGTACAGGATTTGAAGGAGAGATGGTATTAAATACTTATGGCTAACGAGGCTGAAGAAAAATGCCTTTGCTGTCTCACAGGGTTTTATTATTTTGACAGGATTCTCAAAGGCAGCGCTTCCCAATCTTCCTGGCATATGCGTAGAGAATGCGTAGAGAATAACACTGGTTGGGGACACAAGAATAATTGAGAAGAATGCTTCGGGTAAGAAGGTTGCCAGACCAGGTATCCCCAGAAGCCACAGGCCCCACCCTCAAGAGTGCTGAGAAGAAATGCATCAGGGCCCCCTGGGTGGCTCAGCAGTCAAGGGGTCTGCCTTTGGCTCAGGTCGTGATCCCGGGGTCCTGGGATTGAGTCCCGCATCGGGCTCCTCACAGGGAGCCTGCTTCTCCCTCTGCCTATGTCTCTGCCTCTCTGTCTCTCGTGAATAAATAAGTAAACAAATCTTAAAAAAAAAAAAAAAAGGAAATGCATCAGCACTTGAAAACAAAACAAAACCCTCTTTATTGAGATAAGGTTGACATACAAAAAGCTGAATGAACATACTTAACGCATATGATTCGATGAGTTTGACAATGAATATACACTATGAAACCATCACTACAATCAAGGCAATAAGCTTATTCATCACTTTCAAACGTTTCCTCCTGGCACCTTTAGTATTATTTTTTAATTAATTTTCTTTTCTTTTGTGGAAAGGGCACCTAACGGAACTACTCTCTTAGCAAAATTTTAAGGATGGGATATGGCATTGTTAGTTATAGGCTCTGTGTTATAGAGTAGTCTCCAGAAGTTATTCATCTGGCACACTGAAACTTTGTACCCTTTGATCGACACCTCCCCGCTGTCCCCTTCTCACAGCCCCTGGTAACCACTATTCTACTTCCTAGTTCTATGTGTTTGACTATTTTAGGTTTCTCATAAAAGTGGGATCATACAGTATTTGTCCTCATGAGTCTGGCTTATTTCACTGAGCTTAGCGTCCTCCAACACATAACCTTCACTGCACGCCAGCCCACACTGGCGCAGACTGGGGAGGTCCATCCCCAGATGTTTCAGGGCAGTTGTTACTTTATCTGGACAGACCAGGTCCTTGGGATCACAATTTCACTGGAAGGCTAGTTCAAGTATGTTTTCAAATTTATTATAGCATATTAGTTTATATTGCTTGTGATATTTTTCTTGAAATATTAATTTTTCCTGCTCTCCACAAGAGGTTATTTACAACTTCTCTCTGTTTGTCTTGGTTCAACTTGCCAGATTGTGTATCTAACTTAACTAATCTTTTTTTTTTTTTTTTAAAGATCCAGCTTTTGGTTTATTTAATTTTCTCTAGTTTGTTTTTTGTTCTCACTGTCTCATTGATTTCTGCCATTACCTTTATTCCATTTCTTTTGGTAGACTCTGGCCTCTTTATTTGATCGATTTATTGATCTTGGCACTTTTTTGAAAGTCTTGCTCATTTAAGAATATTTATTATGATTATGGAATAGTCTATATGTAATAAATTGCCCTTATTTGTGTAAAATTATGTAAGTTTTGATAAACACATATAATTGTCTAACAACCACAATCATTACAATATGGAATGTTCCATCACTCAATTTCTCATGTGTCTCTTTGTTGTTGACAATTTCCCTGTTCCCAGTCTCTAGCAACCACTGATGTGCTTTCCGTCTCTATTGTTTTATCTTTTCCAGAATGTAACATAAATGGAATCATATAGTACGTAAGCTTTGGATATGGCTTCTTTCACTTGGCATGATGAAAATAAGGCATATACGTGTTACTTCATGTATCAGTGTTTATTTCTCTCTACTGCTGAAAATTCTATTGTACAGATATGCCACAATCTGTTTATCCAAGTAAGAGACTTTGTATGTCTCCCCAAGTGAGATACTTCGCGTTGTTTTCAGGTTTTGCTGATCATTTAACAAGCCGTCAAGATCACCCTTGTACAGGTTTTTGTACTTGTATAAGTTTTCATTTCACTTGAATAAGCTCTAATTGTGAGATTGCTGAGTTGTATGTTAAGCATGTTTATTTTTATTTTATTTTTTAAAGAACTATTTATTTATTTATTTATTTGATAGCAGAAACACAGAGAGAGAGAGTAAGCAGTGGGGAGGGGCAGAGGAAGAGGGAGAGAGAGTCGCAAGCAGACTCCAAATAGAGAGTGGAGCAGAGGGGAGTCTGGATCCCACAGCTCTGAGATCACAACCTGAGCCAAAATTGTCAGATTGCACCTCCAAGGTACCCTGAGTATGTTTGCTTTTAAGAGAAACTGACAAATTGCTATCTAAAGTGTCTAGAATACTTTGCTATTAGCAATGTGTGAGAATTCCATGTGCTCTGCATCCTTCTCAGCACTGGGCATTGTCAGATATTTTTTGTTTCTATTTTTAGAACTATTCTCATCAGTAAGTAGAGGTATCTTATTATAGTGGTAGGTGAAGTTTTCTTATTTTTTAAGAATGCGAGACGTATCATATCATTTGTTGGACCAGAGGAAAGTCAGAAGTTGGTTCTACAGGTAAAAATGGGGGAAATGCAGTTGTAGTGTCTTTAAATAGAATAAAATTTAGCTCACAAATAAAAAGATTGACTTTTAGTTAATTCATTTGTGGTGAAAACATGAACAGACATATGTGTGGTTTGAGATGTACACATGCAAGTAAATTTATTAAGACCTTGTGGAAATTCTCTTCTGATTGTTAACTTTTCTTAATAAACCTGGATGTGATACCCTGAGCTGAAAGTAAATGAAAGTAAGAGGTTGGTTAGTCTGAGAGAAGAGGTGATGGTGATTAATTGTGATAGAGTAGAATCAAAATGAGTAGATATTGGAAAACCTTTTGTAAAGGAACAGGTAGTGAATACTTCATATCTTGCAGGTCATGTGGTCTTCTGCTGCAACTATTGAACTCTGCCTTGTAATGTGACATCTACCATAGATAACAGAAGAAGGATAAATGTGGCTATGTTCCAATATATTTATAGATACTGACATTGAATTTCATGTCATTTCACATGTGACAAAATACTATTACTATTTTGATTTTAATAATCAATAATGGTTAATGTAAATTTTTAGCTTACAGACTATACACATTATGATAGTTACCAATCTTTTACCATTGTCAAAGTTCTGAACCTTACACATTAAAGGCATAGATTTCATTGAATGTAAATTATGCTTCTAACAACTGATTTTTAAATAATGTCACGAAATGTCTAGTAACTACTTTTCCAAATTACGTAAGACCCTCTTGGAGAAAAGTTTGTAAGTGTGATAAAGTATATAAAAGATTACCTACAGAAACATAATCTATGTTCTTGGAAGTAATGACATGATAACATAAATAAGCTCCATTCTTTTCAAATTAATCTATAAATTCAACTCAATTAGCATTAGAATTCAGTTTTTTTCCTCCAGAAACCTGATATTTTTTTTTCTAAATTTATGGAGGAAAAAGTGAGCAAGAATTGTTAGCTCAACGTTAAAAAGTAGAATTAAGAGAAGTTATTTGACTCAGCATAAGACATGTTACAAAGACATAATAATAGAAAAGCAGCAGAAAGAGAAAAAAGAGCTTGAAAACATTTTATTCATAAGGTAGCTAGTAAATAATGAAGGCAACACAAGTCAAGGAGGAAGAGGTAAATTCTAGGTAGACAGTGTAGAAAACTAAGTTAATGCATCCAGATGGTGAACAGACACATGAAAAGATGCTCGACATCACTCATTATCATACAAATGCAAATCAAACCACAATGAGATACCACCTCACTCCTATCAGAATGGCTAAAATCAGTAACACAAGAAACAACCAGCAATGGTGAGGATGTAGAGACAAAGGAACATTTCATGTACTGCTGATAGGAATGGAAACTTGTACAGCCATTGTAGAAAATAGTATGATGTTTCCTCCAAAAGTTAAAAATAGAACTATCCTACCATTCAGTAATTGTATTACTAGATATTTATCCCCAAAATACAAAAACACTAATTCAAAGGGATACAGTTGTAATAGTCAAGATATGGAAGCAGCTCAAGTGTCTATCTATATAGATGAATGGATAAAGAAGATGTGAAATATATGATATATACATATCTATGTATATAAAATAGAATATTATTCAGACATAAAAAAGAATGAAATCTTGTCATTTGCAAGATGGAGCTAGAGAACACAATGTTAAATGAAATAAGTAACGGTAAGAGAAATACCATAGGATCTCACTCCTATGTAGAATTTAAGAAACAAAACAAATAAGCAAAGTAAAAAAGAGAGAGAGAGAGAGAGAGAAAAGAAAGAAGAAGAAGAAGAAGAAGAAGAAGAAGAAGAAGAAGAAAGAAGAAGAAGAAGAAGAAGAAGAAGAAGAAGAAGAAGAAGAAGAAGAAGAAGAAGAAGAAGAAGGTAAACCAAGAAACTCTTTACTATAGAGAACTGATGATTACCAGAGGGGAGGTGGGCTGGGGATGGGTGAAATAGGTGATGAGGATTAAGCAGGGTACTTGTCATGATGAGTACCAGGTGGTGTACAGAATTGTTGAATGACTATATTTTACAGCTGAAACTAATATTACAGTGTAAACTATACTGGAATTTAAAATAATTCTCAAAGAAAACTCCAAATACATCCTAAAACCATGTACAAAGGTGAACTCTACCTGGATTATAAACCTAAATTTGAAAGATTAAACAAACACTTAGAGGAAACTATAGGAAAATTACTTGAAAAATCTAAATGGAAGAAAAAACTATAATTTTTCAAAAGCACAGAACAGGAAGCAAAGTATTGTGAATCTGAGAATCTGATTATATTATTTCTTGTCCATGGAAGGCCATATAGAAAAGTTAATGTATAGCTGAAAGAATGTGAGAATTTATGTATAATGCCCCAAACAAAAAGGGACTATTTAACACATAGAAGGAGCTTCTGTGGGTTAACAAAGAAATGCATGATCCCAAGCCAAAAAATGGATTATGAGCAGGTCATTCCCAAACAGGGAAACCTCAAATCTAGAAAGCCTATAAAGGGAGATTTAAAATAGTTAATATCTGGAAAAATGCATATTAATGCCATAATAATAAAGCCGTGAACCTATTTTACTGGGAAAAAATGTAGTTAGATAATGCCAAAAATTGGCAATGTGAGGATATATGGAAATTGCTGGAAAGGCTAATGACTGGTGAAGCCATATTATAGAAAGCAAACTGGTGCCATTTGGTCAAATTAAATATTTTCATATAACTCAGCAAATCTCCTGGAAATGTAGTCTATTAGCAAATATAAACTAAAAGTTTTTTCCCGTGTTTCCCGTGATGTCAGGCAATTAGAGTCAACCTGGAACTCTAACCCTGGGAAAGTGAATGGTATTTTGTAGGTCTGAAATGAGATACAGAAAGATTGTATTTTTTTAAAGAGATTGTGTGATTATGATTAATAAGAGGAAAATAAATCCAGAGAAATGACATGCCCAAGATCAAAGAGCTGATAGCAGTAGGAACCAGAAGCCAAGCTTTTCAGTGTCCTTTTCTTGATCTTTTCCCAGTGCTGTGTGGCTTCCCGTGATAGGCAACTTCAAACCAATTAAACCGATTCACCTGGGCCTTTATGTCTCATATATATTGGGCCGTGACCCAGGAATAGCCGTGTAAGTGGGGTTTCCTTCTCATGTGCCCTAGGCCAGCAATCCATCTCCCCCCCCCCATCTCTCCCCCTTCCTTTCAAAATCCCTACTTCTCTCTTTGCTCTGGGACAAGAGAACAGTGGGGTTGATGTTGCAGATTTGGAAGATCATGCTGAGGAAAGAGATAAAAATAAATCCACAATTTTGTCTTAACATGATGAATTCAGGTATGTTATCATTATTGTACTGTTCTTAGCTATTTCCATTTTGTCTGCCTGCCTTTTCAGTTCTTTCTTGGTGTCCCCTCTCTCCCTATCTTTCGCCCTCTCTCTCTCTTTTCTCCTCTCTCAGATCATGCTCTTAGCTCTTGAGAGGCTCTTCAGAGGAAGGTCAAATAAAGCAGAGTTAATATTACTATATTCTACAATATCTGTTATTAATGCCTGTGCAAATATTTTGTAACTAAGATAACTATGTGGCTACATGTCGCTAAGGATAGGGAGAAATAAAGGAGTAACTTGGGAGAAATTTTTAATGTGTTTTACTGTGACCTTTTTGATTACAGGATCTTCATCCTATTTGGCTTAGAGAATACATCTGGAGGGGAACAGAATCACTATCTCTTTGCAGAATGAATAAAGTGCATACGAGTTCATGATTTAATATGGTGATTAATTACATGAGTTAATAGTTGTAAAGAGCTTAGAACTACGTCTGACACATAATGACACATAACATAGTGCATTATAAGTATTATTATTATTATCAAGTGTTATTATTATTATCATTAATATTACTGGGGGAGTCACATTGTAATTTGCCCTCATATTATAATAGCAAAGACAATTCTGCCTCAGTTCTTGAGATCATAAGGTCTACTTCACTGTGGTTGAAGTGTAGATGATATTAGGGGATGACAAAAAAAAAATTTAGGATGGAAAACAAGAGATGGAGGCAGGGACATAAGCTGATAGTGACCAGAACATTCAACACACAAAGTACCATGGACTCCCATTGCTTTCCTACCAGCAATATGTTGGCCACAACTTCCTTCAGAAATAATCTTGGGAGGAAAGCTGGGAAGACCAAGGCTATTTGAGAGACATAGTATTTTTTCTAGAGCTTAAATATTAACTGAAAGGACTGTTTAAATGCTAATAGGCAGCAGAGAGACTTCCTGCAGTTATTCCTTTTCTATCATGTTGTATTTGTAGTTTTCTTCTGAGCATCCACCATGCATTCTTTCTACAACTGATCACCTCACTTGGCAATTCATCTTCTCACATTCTCAATCCATGTGAATGGACTGACTGGGGAGAGTCTATACTGTATCCTAACAAATCAACTCAACTCTTTACCCTAAGGGCATAAAGATTAGTTGTGGGCCTATGATATAAACCAGCCTAATATGCGAGTGATAGTAATTCAAGAATAGGATGATAGTATTGTTATGAGAAAAGTAATTGCACTTGTAATTTGCTTTGTATTTATTGAATGTGAGTGGATCTTGGATTTAGGGAATTCACTAAACTGCACGTATGGTTTCATTTCTGTGGTTCCACTTAACTGTATGTAAATGTTTTATCTAGAACTATAATTCTATTTTGTAGCACTGATAGCAGATGATATGTTTTTTTTTCTGATAGAATCCAATGCAAAAAGACTTAATTTACTTGACACCTATTTCTAATTAACCCAGCAGTGCCAAGGATAATTCTGAAGCAGTGCATTTGAACTCACAAAATCTTTTCATATGGAACTACTTTTTTTAGTAGTTATATACCTAAGAGTAATATACCCTTCTAGATCATAAGCACCTTGTGGATAGACATACACTGTGTGCTGCATTTTGTATCCCATGCTATGGGTTAAAATCAATTTTCCCTCTCGGATATTTAATAGATTGTATGATCCCCCACTTCTTGCCCTGAAAATATCAGTTGCCTTTGATATAAATGTCAAATGAACAATGTTAAGGAAATTCAAATGAGTGTTGAAATAAATTTCTAGGCCCAAGATAGAGCCTTTCCTGCTTAGAGGAATCACATCAGCAAATCAAAACTTGGATAATTTTCATGTTCTTGTTAATGTTTCACTTGACCAGAAATAGAAACAGATTATCTAGCCAGCCAATCTCCAACTGACAAGAATCTGTAATAATTTCCTTATTCCAATATAAGTTCAAATATACATCCCCATCCAATCAACTTAACCTAAATACTCTTTTATTCCCTGATTGTCTTCCTAAAGCCTTTCCTTACATTGCAGTTCTCTGAATTCTTGAGAGTGGAGATGGTCCACTTCATGAGGTGTGAAATAAAATTTGCTTAGCTAAATTGTTCTCTTTGATTATTTTAACACGGTACTTTATATAATCTTGCCTCGGCATAGCTTTTACTAACAATATATGTCCAAAGGTTTCATATCACTTATGGTTTTGTGTTGTAAAATGTACGAGGGAGGTTTTCTTATGAAAGAGCAAGTAGAAAGAGAATCAGTAGGTAGAGAATCTCAGGAGGTGATGTATTAGGAACTATAGGCTCCATCTCCTCCCCACCATTAT